TGGCAAAAGGGCAGGGCTAACTGCCCCTTCTAATTTGTGTCAAAACAATTTGGTGCCCGCTGACCTAAAGTCTTCCACCCTTGGTTTAAACCGAGAGAAGGGTGGCCAGGTGCCCAGAGCTGGACTGGGGCATACTTGGACCTTGAGTCCCAAATGAGCCAGCCAGTGACTATTAACCTTAGGTATGAGGCTCCTGATGGGCCCATCCTCTGCGCAGGCTCTGTCCTGCTTTCCCAGGAGTAACAGGAAGCACAAAGGCCATGTTCATGAAAGAACTGACTCAGAACTTGAACAGAGCCTCTTGACTAGCCCCAGATAAGGAACTGGATTTCAGTTAATGGTGGTTAGGGGGGCAGTAGTTTGCCAACTGTGACCAGAACTAATAAAGAGCTCAAAGCATTTAAGTACCTAATCTCCCATTTGCTATTTTCAATGTCCTTGGGTGTGGTGGGACCTCATTCTACTGAGGAGTGAACTAGCACCCAGGGAGGAAGGACAACAGGCGGTGGGTGAGAAGACTGGCAATGGAGCCCATGCCGCCCTTCACCAGTCAAGCTTTCTACAGACTATGGAGTGCACAGAAGACTCAGAAATCCCTGCTTTAGCTAGAGCTGCCCTGTATTCACTGCCACTGGGCTTGCTTGCCAGCTGGGACAGGAGGTGTCCTGGATATCTAGCTAAAAAATGACCTCATTGAGTCTGTTGAACTTCCAAGAAATCAAATCACGAGTACATAACTCTTTCCCACCCTCAAGCCATAGTTCTGCCCCATGAAGTTCAAGGTTTCTGAGAGCAAAAAAATCAAAGATGGGATATCCTCTCTCCACTTCACCATTTGTCTTGATTGGTGCTCTGTGTCTGACTACACGTGAGCATTAGAGAGCAGGGAGACAAGGTGGTTGGTATGCGGGAATTCACAAAGCCCAGACAACATCCAGAGAGCCACTAGCCCTGTTCTGGCCAGGATGACAGCTGCGGGTGGGGGTGGAGGCAGGGCACCACGTCTCCCCAAATGACACTCACTGTCCACAAAATCCTTGCACTCTTCCTTGAGCTCTATGGTCTGCTGGGTAACCTCAGGGTCCAACACGCGCAGCTTGTTCAGCTCATCAAAATGCAGGCCTGCTTCACCCAGGATGTCCTTGGCCATAGCTGTGAAGAAAGCAGCCTCAGTCCCCGATCACTTCCCAGCCACCCAAGGAAATGCCCGCTTCCAGGCCAGCCCCACTCCTGCCCCCAGACACCAGCGCCAAAACCACAGACGTTCTTCCAAAAGCTCCCCTTCCCTCTGCCTCCACCTCTCTGAGCCTCACCTGTTTCCCTTCCGGTTTCCCTAGAGAAGAGCAGCTCTGCTCTGAAGGGGTGCTAGTGGCAGCCAGGAGGAAGTGTGTCATAGGAGCAAGGGTCAGGAAAGAATAAAGTCCAGTTGCTTGTCACGGGCATCGTTCATTCAACACACATTTCTTGAGTGCCTACTACATGCCAACACTGCTAGATGCTGGGGGTACAAAGATGAGTGCGACATGGTGCCCGCCCTGGAGGAGCACATAGTTTAGCTGGAGGAAGACAGACACGGAAACTGAGAAAGTATACGGTGTTAAGTGCTTTTACAGAAATATCACTCAAGTGTTGCAGGAGAACAGAGCAGTTAACAGGGTGAGGGAGTAACATTTGAACTAAATTGTGAGAAGCCATAAGCACATTTATCCCCAATTATGTACCCAAAAGGACATGAAAAAGCTTTTCCAGTACAGTCCTAGCATAACACCAAAAGCAAGTAAAAGAGGAAATCTGCATGACTTAAAAATGAGAGTTAAAAAATAAGCCAGGAATAAGGACATTACCCACAATGTATGTCACAGGCATGTTGGCCTGAACTAGGGCCAAAGTTGACTGTCTCTATCTAGCAGAAAACACAAAAAGGAATGAAGCATCAGCAAGAACATACCAAGTGAGGAGGCTAGGGAAAGGCTTCCCAAGCGGAGAAAACAGCACGGACAAGAGTGTGAAGTCACTGAACCGGCCAGAAGACCTAGAAGATGAAAGGACCGAGGAAAGAGCTGCAAAGGTCGGCTGGAGCCAGATCAGGAAGACCCTGTGTGCCCAACTAAGGAGTTTGGGTTTCTTTCTGTAGGCAAGAGAACCAGCAGAGAGATCTTTTCCCTTCCCAGGCCACCCTGCATTCCTGGTCCAAAGGATGCCTCAATTCTGGGAAGGAAACACTGAAAACTCACGCTCGTTCTGGCAAACACACGAACACACAAAAAGCACACACAATGCTACTTAGGGCTAGCCACTGGCTGCCATACCAATTCCCAAACCCCAAGCGTTCCAAAGGCTACCACCCGCTGGCCCTGTGCAGCCCTTTCCTCTGCTCCCACCTCCCCCAGCTGTTTCCCTTCCGGCTTCCTTAGAAAAGTTCTGTCCCCCCCGCAAAAAAAAAGAAAAGAAAAGTTCTGTCCCAAATGGGGTGATTATGGGAGTAACTTCCCAGAGCAGGTATACCATAGGAGGAGCAATGGTTAAAAAAGAATTAAGTTCCCCAGCTGCCAGAACTGATTTTCAAGACAGCCAAAAATCCAGATTTAGAGATGAAATCTGATTTTTATTTTTATTTTTTAAAGATTTTATTTATTTATTTGAGAGAGAGAATGAGATAGAGAGAGCATGAGACGGGGGAGGGTCAGGGGGAGAAGCAGACTCCCCGCTGAGCAGGGAGCCCGATGTGGGACTCGATCCAGGGACTCCAGGATCATGACCTGAGCCAAAGGTAGTAGCTTAACCAACTGAGCCACCCAGGTGCCCAAAATCTGATTTTTAAAGGGAAGTATTGAACTCAAAAGTTTAAAGGAAAAATCACATCTAACACTGTGGGCCAACTAATGCATGTCTATAGGCTGTCTGTGTAGGACTGAGCCGTTGGCCTACTGGAATCCACTGAAGGAACTAAGCTAGCATCTTCCTTTTGAAACATTTTAATCACCCTGAGCTTCCTTTTAATCGAGCTTTTTTAAAAGATCTGTCTTCCTGCTGTTCTGTTACATTTACACATAGAGTCCGAGCATTTAACACCTACCAGTAGCTGGTCTGATTAGTTAGACCAGCTACTTTAGGAAGCTTCCAGTAACCTGAGGGAGCAAATATCTGCTTCCACTTCCACTCCCTTCCCTGAGAGGATGCATTTATTCAGAAACATTTCTGATCTCTGGACGGACAGTATGAGGAAAAGCACATGGTGCTATATGAAGCTGCAGCAAGAGGACATAATTCATATGGGGGGTGTCTCAAAAAAAGCTCCTTTTTAAAAATTATTTTTAAAGGTTTTATTTATGTATTTGAGAGAGAGAGAGAGAGAGAGAGAGAGAGAGAACAAGCAGGGAGAGAGGGAGAGGGAGAAGCAGGCTCCCCGCTGAGCAGGGAGCCCAATGTGGGGCTCCATCCCAGGACCCTGGGGTCATGATCTGAGCCGAAGGCAGATGCTTAACCGAGTGAGCCACCCAGGTGCCCCTCAACAAAAGCTTCTGAAAACATGACACTCAAGCTGAGACCTAAAGAATATCCAAAAGTTTGCCAAGTGAAGCAGGGAGGAGGCATTCCAGGCAGAAAGAAAAGCATGTGTGAAGATCCTGAAGCTAAAAGAAATGTAATGCATTCCAAGAACTGAAAGGCTAGTGTGGTTAAAACCCAGTGAACTAGGGGGAGTGTGGAACAGGGTAAGTCTAGATGGGAAGGCCAGAGCTGGTTCAGGGAGCGCTCTGAAAGCCGCCGTCATGAGCTTGGATTTTATCATAAGGGTAGTGGGCGGCCAGCAGATTCTCAGCGGAGAAGCACAGCCTTATCTGCCTTTTAGAACGATCACTCTGACCCAGGATGGAGAATGAACTGGAGGGAACGAGACAGTGGGGCTACACCTACCTTGTTCATCACTGTAATCCTAGCATCTAGCAGGGTGCCTGCACACACTGAGCGCCTGCACTCAGTGAATGTTTGTGGAACGAATGACTGGAAACAGAGAGGCTATCACAGTGACCAAGGCTTGGAGCTGAAGAAAAGTGTTCCAATTTGCGATGTTACGTAAGTTGATGGCATTTGGTAAAGCACTGACTGAATGTAGGAGTTTGGGGATGAGGGAAGGAAAGAGGCAGGCAAGATTCCCATGTACCCGGCCTGAGCGCCAACTGTATGTTTGGAGGGCAGAGTTGAATGAGATGGATTGGACCGGAGAAGGAGGGCAGGGAGAGGGTTCCCAACCGACTATCAGATTCCCTCCCAACTCCCACCACACGTGCGTGTCTGAGCATCTGAGGAGCACCGGGCACAAGAACAGCACTGAGCTCCCTGAAGAGGACGGCGGCGACACTCTGTGTCCACCCCCTGGCTCTCCCAGATCCACTCCCGGCCCCGCGAGCAGGCGCCATCCGCGGGATGAGGGGAAGGGGCACCGCGCACATAGTTAGGAAGACCCGGGTGGTGGAGCTGGCTGTCCACACTACGTAAACGCCTTGAACTTTTATGAGCCGCAGTTTCCTCACAAGACAGTTGCGAGCATCACCGCGTAAAGCTCCAGGCCAAAGCTGGGTGTCACACGGCTCGCAAAGAATCGCGCGGAATCCCCACGTTTCTTTCGGCCTGCTGGGTTCACTCGCCCCGGGTCCGCCCGCGTCCCCCGACCCGGAGTCGCTGCCTACCTGCCAACCCCGTAGCGGCGGCGCGCTGCCGCCCGGGCTGATTCCGGCAGGCCGCTTCTCTCCCGGGTCAGCGGCAGTCGGTGCCTCGCCCGCCGGCCTCAGCCGCTGCCACGGCTACAGGACCTGTTTACCCGTAACGTCATTACCTGACTGCGGAAGTACTTACTCCGCCCAAACCGCAGAGCCTGCTGGGAAACAGGCCTGAGAGGAGGGACGGCTGCCTACAAGACCCAGGGGCCTTTGCGCCGGAAAGGCTGCCGGAAGTAGCTAAGCACTCACGGTGGAATTCTCTCAGGGACCCCTCCCTCCCCCGTGATTGGGTGCTGGGCAAGGCCCGCTTTAGAGTCCCAGGCTGCGGGGCGGGCGGGGGTTGTGCTGGGGCTCCAGGCGGAGGCCGCGAGCGGAGGATGTGAGTTCACAGCCGGGATTGCTGGCGGGCAGGCGGCCACAGCCCAGGGCGGCACAGGGTCGACTTGCAACCCAGCTGAGAGGAGAAGCGCCGCCCGGGGACGGTGAGAGCCGGGGTGCGGATGCCCTAGGGGATAGGATGGACAGGCCCCGGGCTGGAGCAGAGAGCCCCACCCAGTCCTGGGGAAAAGGCGTGGGACGGTGTAGGGGAGATGGAGAGCTCAAATCCTCCACTGGGATGGGTGTCAGAATCGGTCTCAGTTTCTCGGTGGTGAGGAGGGGTGCGGGCCGGGGAAGACTCACCACAGACCACAGAGAGGTTGGGTCTCGCTAAATCTTTCCAGTCCCTTTGGACGAAGCTTAAGATTTACACCTACAATTTCTGCTAGATCCTCCTCTACCCAAGATCGGTTACCAGCCCGCCACCACCGAGTGTGATGGATTTCTGGGTCCTTTTTCCTTTAGGACCCCACCTTCCATGGCCGTGGTTGTTGTCCTGCCCTTTATTCTGCTTCGGTTCCCATTAGCCTCGCTGAGGGAGACTCGGATACGCCCTCAGCCCCAGGCATCCCCAAATATCCACACACAAAGTCCGGAAGGAACAGCAGTGAGGCTATCAGTGGAAACTTCATTCTCACTGGAATTACTTTCTGGGGCGTCACCTGCCACAAGATTCCTGGAGCCCATTGGTCTGGGAGGAATCTGAGCGGGCGGCATCTGAGCTGACGTCATCCAGGGGCTCAAAGCAATTGCTTTATGTAGGCTCTGTTGGCCACCGCCTAGCCTTTGAATTCCTTTACTTTGGCAGAACATATGTGTGCTTGCTTTGATCCTTGGGGAAATCGGGGCTAGACCCAAAGTACGTAGGGAACTTGTTAAAACCTGTTAAGGGGTGGACTTATTCCTTTGGAGTGGGTGGAGGAGGGTGAGGTGATTTCATACTGTTCATGTGTTACTTAGGGATTGGGCAGTCTGCTGGTGAGGGTTCATCTCATCCATACTCCATCCTTGGGGCAAATGAGAGTCTGCTGGACAAGCCACCAAGGAAATTCGGTACTTCACAAAGCACCCGCTCTGGTCCTTCCTTGGACATTCTTCTTAGGGGCCTACCTAAATCTTTTCAGGGACAGTTTCAGTCTAACAAACTGACATATTAAATACTTTCAGATGTGCATGGCGTTGTGGTAAGCACTGCTTCTGGATCTCACTTATAGGAGGTGACGTGCAACCGCAAATTTTGCGTGTTGTGAGGACTATGAGGCGATTTTACCTTTTTTCTTTCTCCATTGCCAGCACTGCAGTCCAGGCCTTCACCACTTGCCTAGACTGCCGCTTCCTCTGGTCTTCCCGCTTGTTCTCATGCACCCTTACGATCCATTCTCTACCCGGCAGCCAGAGTGATCTTTTCAAAATGTGAATAACTCAGATCCTGTCACTCTCCTACTTAAAACCCTCCAATCAATGGCCATCGCAATTAGTATAAAATGCAAACTTTTTAATATGAACTGGCCCCTGCGTCCTGACTTTACATCAAGCCAACTTCCCCCTTCTTTCTATGCACTAGACATCTTGGCCTTATTTCTGTTCCTAAAACTTGTGTCTAACTGAGAAACTTTGCACTTACTCTTCCATCCATCTGGAACGCTCTTTCAGCCTTCAGCTGGAATGTCACCTTCCCAAAGAGGCTTTCCCCGGCCCCTACCCATTTTAGGACTTCTCCCTAGTCACTCTCTTATCACTAGCTTATTTATTGCATTTCTTACCCTCTGGAACTGCTTGCTTATTTATTCATTGTCTTGCTTATTGTCTGTATCCTCCCCCTAGAATGTAATCTCCGTGAGGCCATGACTTATTTGTACTCTTCTGTATCCTCAGTGTCCAGCACATAACAGGGCACAGTAAACGCTAACTCTTATTAAGTTTTATTCTTGTTAACGTTATGATGCTTCTTGGTACTCCTTGAAGGCAAAGTCCGTATCTTTCCATCTCTCTGTCCCTACCGCCTAACGGAGTAGGGACTCAGTCTTGTTTTCTCGCTGAATGAGTTAAATGAAGTAATGTGTATATTAAGTTGCCTAGACTAGTACCTGGTACATAGTAAACGTGCAGTGAATGTTTGCTCTTTTTTTTCAATGAATGGATTTTAGTGATTCCTTAAAAAACCAAGACATATAAGAGAGAATCTAGCTCGCGGGGGGTGACCTGGCTTTGCTCTCCTTTTCTTCCCTCACTCCTCCCTCCCATGAATGCCTATCAGTGTTTTAGTTTCCAAATCACTTCATAGTTGTTTTTAGATTTATCATCCGGTCTTTTCAAGCCCCTTCTCCCCGGTCTTGTGGGTAGGGAAGAAAGGAAGAGATAAGGCTGGGCCTCCTCTCAGGAAAAAGAAGTAAAAATAGCCATCCTGTAGTTGTTCTGTCCTGGAAAATGGTGACAATTTCAGGAACTTGGGACAGGGCTGGGACCAAGAAAGAGGAAGGTCAGGAAACTCTGCTGCGGCCCGGGTAACCTCTGCCAGGAACACTGGCTGGCGCCCTCTAGCCTGGCTCATTCTGTGCTCTCCTGAAGCTGCTTTTACTTTCCTTCCTGAAGCCAGACCGCGGTGGTGCTCAAAGTCAGCGCTGGTGCAGACTGCTTCTGGGCCTGGAATCTTTAGAAAGGAAGTGCATCCTGTCCCTCTAGCTCCTGGGAATCTCCTGCGCTGGCAGGATTCCCAGTAGGTTTGGTGGGAAGACTTGGGTCCTGGGAACCTTGAGAGGCAAAGAACTGGAATTGGACTGTCGTTCCCCAGGGTAAAGACTTCGGCTGCCCCAGCTCCTCCTCAAGCCGACTCGGACTAACTCCCAGGGTTTGCTTGTCCTCCTTGCTGCCGAGAGCTGAGCCGAGGCTCAGGGGGACTGGCGAGATGAGGGGCAGGCTCTGGGAGACTGTGCTGGTTCCTGTTACCATAAAGAAGAACAGGATTGTCCTCTTTTGCTGTTGCCTAGGGCCTTAGCCTCTGCCAGGGAGTCTTGCTTGTCAAGGAGAGAATGACTGCATGGTCCCCTCCTGTCCCCTCTCAGCTGAGGGCTCTCCTCTGCTAACTCCTGTCTTCTCTCCCATCTCCTGCTCACAGTGTTGAGAGTATGAGGCTCTGGCCTCCACTGACCACTCGCTCGTGATCCTTCCACCACGGCGGAGCCTTCCAAGCCGACCTCCTGCCGTGTGGTGATCTACCTGCAGCGGGAGATGTCAGGGGATACCTGTCTGTGCCCAGCCTCGGGGGCCAAGCCCAAGCCGAGCAGCTTCAAGGGAGGAGGCCTGGGCAACAAATACGTCCAGCTCAATGTGGGGGGCTCCCTGTACTACACCACTGTGCGGGCACTAACCCGGCACGACACCATGCTCAAGGCCATGTTCAGCGGGCGCATGGAGGTGCTGACTGACAAAGAAGGTGAGGCATTGGGGCTTGTTGGGCCAGCTGAGGAGGGAAGAAAGAATTCCTGAAGAAGCGACTTCGGGGCAGGGCTTGAGCCTGGCAGGTCTAGACTCTAGATTCACTCTTCCCGTTACCTGGTCCCGGACTCCTTCAGCTGGAGTCTGTGGTAGAGCCCCGGCATTCTTTGAGGTTGTATGTAGAAGGGTGTGCGCTTACAGGTTTTCCAGGGCCAAGATCCATACCTTTTATATAACAAAAGGACTAGATTCTCCTGAGAACCATCGCTGTACTGACCGGGCAGTGCACAGAAGGCAGGGCCTGGTGGCGTTCGTGTCGCCAGGCGGTGGGCCTGAGCACTCCTGAGCTGAGACCTCTGAGGGCTGCCGCAGAGCCTGGAGGGCCTCTGTCCCCCGCAGTCCGGGCCACCCTTGGTGGAAAAGAACAGCCACAGACCTAGGAGCTAGAGGTGGCGTTCCCACTTCTGTTACCCTGTGCTGCGGGCTACCTGGAGGCAACGAGTAACTGTCGGGGGCCTGTCTGAATCCCTAGGCTGGATCCTCATAGACCGATGTGGAAAGCACTTCGGCACCATTTTGAATTACCTCCGCGATGACACCATCATCCTCCCACAGAACCGGCAAGAAATCAAGGAACTGATGGCCGAGGCCAAGTATTACCTCATTCAGGGGCTGGTGAGCGTGTGCCAGACTGCTCTGCAGGTAGGGAGCTAAAGTGGGCTCAGGTTGAGGAGGTTGGGAGTTGGCCCCTCCCTTCAGGGACATAAAGGTCCAGTTCCTGGAAGGTCACATGACCGGTACGGTTGGTGAGTCCGAACCTCACTGTTATATATGCTGGGTGCTGCCCAGGCCAAGGACACTGGCAGCCAGTCTGTTTGTAAGGTGACAGACTCGGGCAGTAGGACTAAGCCCAGCTTCCGGTTTCTACACCTTGCTATCTGGATTTTAGGTTTTCTGGAAATGGGGTTCTGCTTGCCAGCTGGCAGTTTCTATTGCCAGATGCCTCCTCAACAAGCAGAGGGTGGCCTTGGCAGGGGGGCTCCAACAGCTCCTGGGGAACGCCTGGCTTAGCCTGGCAAGCAGGAGATCTCAAAAAAGATTCTCGGCTATGTGTATCACCCAGGACAAGAAGGACTCCTACCAGCCTGTGTGCAACATCCCCATCATCACCTCCCTGAAAGAGGAAGAGAGGCTCATCGAATCCTCCACCAAGGTACTGGGACCCCTGAGGGCTGCGGGCAGGGACGGACGGGACCCTAGCCTGGCCCTCACGCTCTCCTCCCTCCCAGCCCGTGGTGAAGCTGCTGTACAACAGAAGTAATAACAAGTATTCGTACACCAGGTAGGGTGGGCATCTGGGGGCTGGGGGGCCAAGGCTCGGGGAAGGGCTGCAGAAGCAGACCCAAGAGAAGCCCCCTGTACTCCTGGCATGGTTGGCAAGGGTCTGGATCTCAGGCAGGAAGAACAGAGAGAGAAGGGGAATGAGGGCAGAGACGTTTGGAACTCGGTGCAGGGCCCTGGCTGGGATATAGAGGGGAACGAACTGGAACCCCCCTAATGTGTCCTGTCGGGCACCGTGCCAGGTGTTTTCCCAGCATTAGCTTATGAGGTGGAGGAGGGACCCTGGGAAGCCCGTGGCTGGGACTCCTCCTGAGCCAGCCTCTCTGCTTCACAGCTGGGCCACTTTCTCCCTTGCCCAGTGTCCCCTTGGCCAGCTGCAGTTAGGTATATGCACAAGGCCGCAGGCTCAGGGAGTCCCCACAGACAGACGTGTTGCCAGCAGCCCCCCTACGGCAAGGGAAGGGGTCCTCCTGCCACGAGGGCAGCGAGCCTCCCTCCTTCGGGGCCCGAGGAGAGGAGACCGCCTGCCCTCAGTTCTCTCTGCTTCAACTTCAGACCAACTCCCCCCCTTCCCCTCACAGGCCCCCAAACCCAGAAGGTGCCCTGTGCCCCTTTTCCCTGCTGTCCCCTCTGGCATCCTGACTTTTCCTCAGTTCTGCGTGACACGGAGGGGAAGGGGGGAAGCGCCCAGCCAGCACCGTCTCTTGTGCTGGAACCTCATTCCCAGGCCCCCTGGCCTTCATGGGTTTTTCAGCAACTCGGACGACCACCTGCTGAAAAACATCGAGCTGTTCGACAAGCTCTCCCTGCGCTTCAACGGCCGCGTGCTCTTCATCAAGGACGTCATTGGCGATGAGATCTGCTGCTGGTCCTTCTACGGCCAGGGCCGCAAGCTGGCCGAGGTCTGCTGCACCTCCATCGTGTATGCCACGGAGAAGAAGCAGACCAAGGTGGGGGGCTTCCCTCTGCGTGGGTGGGGGCGGGACACACCCCAGCGCAGCCCCCGCTGTGCCCTTCACCACAGGGAGCTTGCTCTCTGTTTCCCCCAGACCCACATGATGGTGCTGGGCAAGGACGAAGCCAGTTCAGGCAGTTCGGAGATTGGCTCGCGAATGCTTCGTTCTGGTCACCTGAGCGGTGGGGGCTGTTGACCAGCAAGAACAGCGTGGTGCGGTGGGAAGGACCAGGTCTTTGGAGTTGGCCCAATTCAGGTCTGAATTCTGGTTCTACCACTCACCAGTTTTCTGACCTCGTACAAGCCATTTAAACCAGCTGGGCCTCAGTTTCCTCACCTGCAAACCTGGGCATGATAGTATGCAGTTAACGGAACTGTTAGGAAAACGCGGCGGTTCCTAGGAGCAGCAGTTCAGGGTCTGATCTCCTCCCTGGCCCTGCTGGTCGGGTGTTCCCGGCCGACCAGCTTAGCCTCTGCAGGAACAACGCAGCGCCAGGTACGTGTGAGGGATTTGACAGGTGACAGTTGACACGAACTCTGCAAACCCCGTTCTCCCAGGCTGCGAGCACTTGGTGTCCTCCCCAGAGAGGAGCTCCCCCTGCCCCCCTGGGAGCGTGTGCAACGGAGGCAGCGGAGGTCTTTGCTGGGCCAGGAGGGTAGCCCACTTGGAGGGTCGTGTGCATGAGGGGCTCAAAGCAGCCAAGCCTGTGTAGCACCTGCTTGGCCTCCAGGCCCCCGAACTGCCTCCAGCTGGGCCGCCAGACGGTTGGGGAAGGACAGCTTACAGGAGGTGGCCCTGCTTCCTCCTGGCATTTTGGGGGTGCGGACTCCCGTGTGCACGTATCAACAGAGTCAGGATTCAGGGTCAGGTCTCTGTGGGGGCTGCTTACACTTGGAAGTGGCAGCAACCCCTGACACCTTCCTGAGCGTTTTCTCTTTCGTGGACTTTGGGACTCCTCAGGCAGGGCTGGAGCATTCTCCCCATTTGACAGATGAGGGAACAGAAGTCAAGTTAGGCTAGAATCCAGGTTCCTTTGTGTCTTCCACGTAACGTTCACAACAACTCTCTGAAGTAGGTATTAGCCCTGATTTTACATGGGCGGACACGGAGGCCTCGCGGCCCGTAGGTGCCGGGCCCGTACTGAAGCTGGCTCTGAGCACAAAGCCAGGGCCCTAACCCTGCACACACCAGCCCACTGCTCCAGGCTCGCGTGGGGCACGGGCAGCATGCTAGTCTTTGGCGTCCTCATGTCCACAGAGTACAACTCCCCACTTCTCCAAAGAAAGACCTCCCCTCGCTCACCTGTCTCAGGAGAGAGTTCGGGAGGAACTTCGAGAGCCAGCACAGGGGCGAGGGCCCTGCCATGTTGCTGCCTGTCGGATGAAGCCTCATTCAGTCCTCTTGTCCCCCTGACCCCAGGTGGAATTCCCAGAGGCCCGCATCTATGAGGAGACCCTGAATGTCCTGCTCTATGAGACTCCCCGAGTCCCTGACAACTCCTTATTGGAGGCCACCAGCCGGAGCCGCAGCCAGGCTTCCCCCAGTGAAGATGAAGAGACCTTCGAACTGCGGGACCGGGTCCGCCGTATCCATGTCAAACGCTATAGCACTTACGATGACCGGCAGCTCGGCCACCAGTCCACCCATCGCGACTGACAGGACCCTCAGGGAGTCAGGGCACGGGCCACCCTGTCTCCCCTCCTGTGGAACCCTGCCCCGCTGGCCGCCCCACGCTGCTACTGGCTGGGTTTCTGCTCCAGCGCCCAGAGGCCTGACAGGAAGGCAGAGGGCCTGAGCAGGAGAGGGACCACATTGTTTGCCCTGCTCCCTGAGCACTTCCGGATGCCCGGGTCCTGGACCCTTTGCTCACCCTTCCTGACAGGAGCTGCGTCTGCCCCTGGGGCGAATGGACTGACCTGCCCACCTCCCACGAGAACAATCCCCTTGCCCCCTTGCTGAGTGTCCTTTTGCTCCACTGAAGGGCTACCTTTAGGCCTCTGGGGAGGTCCATGGGGAACGAGCTCGTTCTGGTGCTGTGGAGGCCCAGTTTCTTACAGAAGGTGGGGCTCCTTTTTCCCTAGGTGTTTAAGCACAGGCCTCATGATTTTGGTTTTTAAAAAATTATCTAGGAAATGAATAGTTTTGAGTCTAATAATGAGGGGAATAGGTATTTGTGCTACCCCTCTAGGGTGCCAAGACCCTGGGTAGAGGGCAGAACCTTTGGCCTTCCTTGATGCCTTTGACATCTGTTTCTTTAAAGCACTTTGTACTTTTATTCAGGAGATTTGTATTCTGCCCTGACACGCATCAACTTTTTCTGACCCTAACCCCTCTTCCCTCCAGAATCCGTCTGAGAGAGGGGCTAGAGAAGCAATAAAACAAAATACGGACTAACTTTGGCTTTGCTGGGCTGGCCAAACAGCCAGCCCAGAGAGCATGGACAGGAAGGAAGGGAACTGTAGTCCTAATAATGCCCATGAGAAAGGACATTTTCAGGTCACGTAATGGAGTCCTGGGGCCTAACATGATTGCTCTTTTTGATTCTCTTGCCCTCAGCTCCAAGGTATGCTTTGCTTTACTTTCTGGAAAGCCAAAGGGCCGTTACAGGGGCCAGGAGCATGAGCCGCAGCGGGAAAGCTGTGGGGCCCATGGGCACCGCACTCAAGACGCCCACCAGCTGAGGACAGTAAATGTGTGCTCTGCGTTCCCAGCAGCCCTGTGCAGAGGTGGCATGTGCTTGGCCATATGGCCCCTGCCCGCCCCATACTGTTGGTTTTGTGTCCCGGCTGGGGTGGGGGGAGGTGGTGGTGTTCTGCCCAGCGTTGAGTCTGGACGCAGGGTGATGGGAGCAGCCTAAGTCCCTTCAAAGGCTGGGTGATGTGGCCATGGAGCTGCCAAGGCCCAGCTCTTGGGCAAGGATGCAAGTTACTCCTTGGGGCTTTTTTTCACTACCTTCTGTTTGGCGTGGCCCTTTGGGAGGCTGCTTATCCGAATTCTTTTCCAAAGGAATGCCATCAGGCTGGGAGCTGCTCAGCCAGCCTAAGAAAACCCCACAGCCACTGAGCGGTAGCCACTCGGGAAGGAGTGCCAGTTATCAGGCTCCTGGCTCCTGACAACTGTCGCTTAGCTAAGTGGCCTGCTTATGGCCGACGCAATGGAGCCTATGGGCAAATGCTAGGCCCGGGTTCGTAGACGCCTACAAGGACCTGAAATGACATGATGGGGCAGGGGAAGTGTGACTAACCAGGCATTTGACGCTTGTCACAGCCTTGCAAATGTAGACTTCCAGGTGAGGCACCCTGGTCATCAGCTCGGAACACTTCACCCAGCCCTCCCTGGAGTAGAGGTGAAGACAAATCCATTTCTTTGGCCAGATTCCGCCTTTGGCTTTGTGGCTTTCCCACAGAGACTGGAATGCTTCTTCTGCCTGAGGCCTCTGGCCTATTTCCTCCGCTGCCCTCCTGAGGCCTCTAATACTCAAAGCCCCAGCTTCCCACTGAGGTATTTTAATGCCTGTCCTTTGACCTCCCCAGCCCTGCAGCCTCTTTGCTCTCTGACATTTAGATCAACTCTCTCGGTGGTGACTATTCTTTTTTCCTGAGAAAGCACAGTAATCCTGGACTGATCAAAAATATCTCCCTGGTCTTAAGAAAAATACTAACATTGAAATCACTGAAGTCAGCTTCTTTAATCGAACTTTGTGGCATAAGGGTTGGGGGAATTTTTTTTGCGTTTCTCAGCCCCATTCAGAAAGCAGCTCTTGGCTGTGTGAATTTTTCAACTCGGAGCAGCCCAAGGGAAAGCAAAGAGTGTGGATGAAGGTCAAACCTTCTCGGTTTCTGAGAAAACTGGAAGCCTGCTGTTCACCACAGGTACCAGGACTGGGTTTTATTCCATTTCTTATCTGACCAATGTCTGCCTAAAGGATGGCCCAGGTCCTGCCACGAGAGAAGGTCTCCTTTGTCCCTTAACTGCAATCCCTTGTTGCTCAGCATGGGTGATGGAAACCGACACTAATTTCTAATAAAATTGTGTTACACCGCAGTGGTGCGGTGCTTGCGGTGCTTCGAGCTGGGTCAGCTCACTGCTGTGGACAAAGTTCTTGTATTCTTCCCGCTCATCAGCTTGTGTTCGCCCCAGTCGGAAATCCTACTGCACTCAGTTGCCCTGCAACCCAGGCTCCCCCTGGTGGAGGATTAAGGACAACACTAATAAGGGCTGGAACTGAGATTTAATATTATTCAAGAATAAAACGACCTCTTTTAACAATCACTATGGTAGTAGGGAAGCAGGAATCTCTAAGATTCGGGGGGAAATGCAGCACATTTCATCTCTGGCTCTTGGAGATTTGTGAGCGGCTCAGAAAGTAGCTTGGCTCAGTCCCCTCCTCGGCTAAGTTTCTGCATTTGCGGTCTGGAAAGGCCTGACAGACAGAAGCTCGCGGCTGGCAGGCCTGTTATTCCAGGGAACTCACACTGCTTGCCTCACTCCTTCCCAGGCCCAAGGAGGCCAGCGATGTCAATGGTGGCCAGTGCTGAGAGCCCGAGCCTGATGCTGGCCTCCTGCTCAGCATCTGGCAGAGGGTAAAGAAGACAACAGGAGTCCAGTCTAGTCCCCACCCCACTGGCTGAGAGGCACAGTGACCCTGGGAGACGTCCAGCTAAGCCCCAGCCTCAGGAGAGAAAGAGATACACTCTAGTAGATGGGGCAGTTTGCTGGAAAGGCAGCAAGGACAGCAACCAAGGGCCCCCACTGCGTCAAAAAGGGAGCCTGAGACCCCGGGGGCAGAAATGGCGAGGGGGGCCAGGTGTGCACTGGTTTATTGACCAAACCTCATATTCCAAACAACTTGTGTGACAGGCCAGGAAACCCCAGGCCTGTGGCAGCTGAACACAAACGTCCTGGTGGAAAGGTTTACTGGAACAGTGTAGCCAGGGCTTACGGGGGAGGCCAGCCTTGGAGGAGTCCTACACAGGTCTTCTGGAGAAAACGATTATACCCACCCACCAAAAAAGAACCCCACAATCAAATGGCGCAAACGATAAAGAGACCCACTGTGGCCCATGGTGGAGAGTTCTGCAGCAATTGTGGGATGAGAGCTGTTCTTCAGGGGCCGAGCCTAGGCACTCAAGCCTCAGCTGGCCTACCAGTGAAGGCCCGAGGGTGGTGTCTTCTCATCTTTATTGCTTTCTAGGGAGAAGGGAGGGATCCGGACATCAAAGTGGGAACCATCAGGCCTCTCGAAGCGGAACGTGCCCCTGTGCGTCAGAGAGAAGCTGGGTTAGAGGGAGTGAGGGCTGAGGCCCTACTGAGGATCTTGAGAGCCCAAGGCCCTCAGCTCCGGAACTGAACACAGCAGGATGAGGGAGGATGGGCTCTCTCCAGCCTGGCTCATGTCAGGATTAACACTGGTCCAGAAACCCGAGAGCCCTTCCTGGCCCTACATGAAAAGAAGAAACACAGCTGCCCTGATTCTGGCCCTTAGATGTACGCTGCATAAGCTACCCAATCATACTTTCAGGTTAAGGAGTGAACCACCAGGGGAAAACCAGCTACATGGGCAACTCAGTGCAGCACCAAACCGTCAGACCTCTTGGGCCTAAGTCCTTAGTCCATGAAATCACAGGAACTAGAAAACAGAAAAAAATCAGACAAGTCCCACCCAAGAATGAACAGCAGCTAAAGCTCCATCTCTAGATGTCACCTGGCCCAGAATTAATGGCAAACTCTGAGCTCTCGCTTTTCTGAGCTGCGGCTGCGTGTGTGGAGTCGAGGCGCCCCGTCCCACGCGAGCCCACTCACCACATGTGGCCGCTGGAAGCCTGCAGGGAGACGTGGCTGCTATACTGGAATGCGGGCTGCTCCTTGGATAACACGGGTTCCTGGGAGGGTTCAGGCAAAATCCGTAAGGCCGGGCCAGCTCCCTGTACCCCGGGGCCACACGCTGCCAGTTCATCAGGATGATGCCCCTCCGGCCTCCCACAATGACTGCGGGCCAGTACCACCTCCCGGAGCACGGCCACTGACGTGGGCCTTGCATTCTGCTTCTGGGAAAGAGAACCTCACACTCAACATCCGAGGCCACTGGGCAAAGATGCCGGGCATAGGACCTCCTCTGTAAATAGCCCTTCCAGAGTCCATTCACGGAGTGCCTGAGTGCCAGGACCAGGGCGGTGTTCTGCAAACCTTTGCTGACTTAAATCTCCTGGTAATTATGAGACTAATAGGTGTGACTCCCATTTAACAGGAAGAAACTGAGGTTTTTGGTTAAACTGGCCCAAAGTTATGTGGTGAGTAAACCACACGTAGCTGGCATTCAAAGCCAAACTATCTCACTCCAAAGGCCTGTTCTCACTCAATATCCCACCCTGCTTCCCAAGCCCGTGCTGATGGGGATAAATACATGTTAAATGTGGCCACTGGCCATTTCTCCTGACTCTATTTCTCAGGAAACAGGGTGGGGTAGTGCAGGATTTGCAAAACCAGATCTCTTCTGGACCAGCAGAGGCGGCAGGTGTGTAAAGAGGCAGAGGAAGGGGCGCCTGGGTGGCTCAGCCACTGGGCGTCTGCCTTCAGCTCAGGTCGTGATCTCAGGGTCCTGGGATCGAGCCCCACATCGGGCTCCCTGCTCCGCAGGAAGCCTGCTTCTCCCTCTCCCACTCCCCCTGCTTGTGTTCCTGCTCTTGCTAGCGCTCTCTCTGTCAAATGAATAAATAAAATCTTTAACAACAACAACAAAAAAAGAGGCAGAGGAAGGACAACCAGAAGCAGAGGTTCGGCGGGGGGGGGGGGGGGGGGGCGGCGGGGGGCAGGGGGCGGAGCCCACCGAAGGGCACTCATGTTCATATGTTTAATAAGGCTCCGTGCTGGCAACAAGGACTCTACACAAGTGCGGATGTCAGACACCCTTGGATTCAGATCCAGGTCCTGCCACCATCAGCCACGGCACCATGCGCCAGTTAACTCACTTCGCAACCTCTCTTCATCTGTGAATCAGGCTGTAAGAAACCTATCTCATGGGGTTGTTGTGAGATGTCACCCAGAACAGCCCAAGGCATTCACACACTGAGCCTCTGTCCCTAGCCACAGAGGAGAGGAGAGCAGGCACTCAGCCCCAGGCCTGCTGGGAAGGACCAGAAACTGGGCATTATTAGCCTGATGATGCTCACCCTTCCCACCACGCCTCGGCCTCGCACTGTCTCCAAGGTGCCAGATAAACTGAATATCCTCCAGTGTCGCTCCCGGAGCTGCACCACGTCACTGTCAAGGTTCTCTAAGCGGATACAGTAGCGCCACTGTGGGGGGTGGAGAGAGTTCACAGCTGAGAGAGAACAGAGCTGGGCTAGCCCACCCAGAATTCTAGGAAAGCAAAAGGCAAAAGACGGACACCTGCAGTGCACAGGCCCCTCCCGCCAGAGGCAAACTCCCCCCCTCCAAACCCCCACCCCCACCCCCAGGCACACACTCACCCAGTAGACATGGGAATTCTGGGCTTCCTGGGGAAAAAACAAAGAATTTAAGTCCCAGAGGGCAGGACCAAGTCTGTTCCAATCAACAGCTCTCCAACTGAGTAGGTGTATTCCAGAAAGGTTGCAGAGACAGAACAATGTCACGAGTGTCTGTGGGATGGTGACTGGACTACGGCCAACAAGCCCCAAAGAAGGCAGCCTCCCCTGGCCCCGTCCCTGGCCTCCCTCCTCCTCATCCCGTCAAGATCACCAACGGAGCTGGGTGCCAATGGAAGTCAGCCACAGGGCCCCCTTCCCTTTCTCACCAGTCTTCCAGATAGCTGCTGCCCCCTCCCCCCGCCCCCGCAATCACTCCTGGCTTAGGCCACCTTCCTCCTCCTCGGCCCTCCCAGGCCCAACACTATGACAACACTTGATGTGCTCTCTGCTAACCTCTCCCACTACCATGAGCTCCTGAAAGGCAGGGACAGGGTTTCATGTTTATTTGAAGCTCACAGCCAAGCAAGAAATAGCTCAATAAACATCTGACTAATGCATACAAAGTGTGAAGATCAGCCTCTACTTATTTAAACAAGTATGTGTGTATTCTTCATAAACAGGAAGGCTTTGAACCAGAACAGAAGGGAGAGTCAGCCTGGAGGACTCCGTCCCAGAACCTGAGGGTCTCGCTGCTCCAGATCTTGGGAGTCCACCCAATACGTGCAGCACTTGGAAGAACCACTAGGCACATGGTTTAAATGTGGAACCCACTCCACAGTCACCCTGGGGATATCACAGAAAATCTGGGGGCCCACCCCGAGGGAAGGGGCCCAGGCCAGGTACATACCCTCATGCCCATGTAGAAGGGGATGACGGTGACACGAATGTTCTCAGTCGTTTCCCGGTGGACATCAGAGAGCTCCAGCCAGGGGTGATTCTTCTCTTGCCAGGCCCGGAGTGTCTCCCGGGCCACAAAAGGGGGTGCTGGGGCAAAAGATAACTAGTTAGTCCAGGCCAGAGTCCCGGGTGTTCTCCAACTGCCCCTCCTAGAAAAATCTTCCGAGTGCCAACCCAGGTTAACGAGGCACCTGGACCTGAAGCAAAAGCACAGGCCGGAAGAAGGCACCAGGCCAGAATAAGCCCCGAGCAGCTACGGGACATCCTGGGAAGAGAAAGGGGCTGGGAGTGAGGACCCCAGGTCTTCAGACCCTACTGTAACCTTGACCTTGCCACTCACTAGCAATCAGCCTTCTTCTCATCCCTGAGCCTCACGTTTCATATCTATTAGGAAGAGATAATAGCCATCCGCCTGATAGATCTAATGGGAGGTTGAATAAGGTTGTGGATATACAGCTTTGAAGTTACTTCTGTGATATTATCCTTTGAAGAAAAGGCTCTCCCATTCCAGCTTCCCTTCTTGAGAGAGCTCACCTTTTGTCTGGTCATACAGAAGAAATCTTTCAAACAGCTCGTGCTGGATGGGAACCTGATCAGTGGATGTATAGGGAAGGATGTCTTCATGGCTGACATAGTCCAGGCCTGGCACAGAGAGGGAAAAGAAACAGTGAAACTCACACAGGAAAAGGGAGGAACAAG